TTAATCCTTAGAAGTCAAGCACAATGGTATCTTTAGTGGCTCTGAAATGTATGTGTTCCAGGATCGAAAAAAGGAGGAACAAAGTAAAAATGTATACTATAACCATAAATATAAGGCTAATCCTTACTGCATACAATGCTACCCCACAATAAAACTATGTTCATAAATAAATATCATCCAAAAAGTGTTTAGAAATGTACATTTTTTTTCTATTTCACTTTTTTAAAAGCTACAAAGTAATAAGAAACTGAAAAACAGTGCTCATTCAATTAAGTGTGCAGTTCATTTTTCTTTAACTGCAGACTGCAGACTTTAAGCAAACTTCTTGAAACTTCCCACTGTGAACAAAATCCAATCTGGTGCAACCCACCACCTACTTATGGACTCACACTCACGCTTCAAATGCCCAAGATGAAATCAATTGGGCTAAAACAGCACGGGAATACACAGCAATGTGGATATGAGTTGTGGCCACTCTATCTCTCGACACCCACTGAGTGGTTGACTTACATAGACGGGCCAGTATGGATTGAGCTGTATGTTACAGTGGAGTGTCAGATGTCTACTTTACCTATGAGGAGAATTGGGCCGGTTCTGCTTCCAATACTTCCAAGGGTAGCAGTGTTTGAGCTCAAAACGCTGCTAGTTAACTGATAGAGGTAAACATGTCCTTATTCTGGCTGTACTTTTGTTTTAATTAAGCCAAAAGGTGATTTTTTGATCCATTCTTTAAATAGAGCATGTCTTCAGTGAACATATACTGTATTTTATTATTACTGTAATGTCAAGGTTAGTTGGAATGAATCCTTGATTTGATTTTCACATTTAACATGCTTGCTATACCCAGTTTTTTGTATTGCATTAAACCTAAGATCTGTCTTTCACTTCATTCATTCAGCTTTTCTGATGAAAACTGCGGAGATAACATTTCAGCCACCAGGGTATGTTATTTATTTTTTTCAGGTCTTCAGACTGGTAGGCGTTCCTTAAGAACAAGTGGTATCAAAACTGAGATGAACTTGTCCCTTAGGTAGTAGCATTTTCTTGGCAAAAAGGAAGTATGGTCTTTGTATACACCAGTGATCTCAGATTTTTTTTTTTATCTCAGTAGGATCAGCATGGGTTATAGATTATCATTCAGACTTGATAGCTTTCTTGCAGCCCCAGGGGCTTATCCCTCAGGGTTTGGGCTCCTCAGGGCCTTGGCTTCATCCCAGGATATCCAACTCTAGCCATGGCTTACAGGCTAAAACTAGCCATATACTAATTAAATACCAGCAGTTTCACTTGACTTTATTTAAGGGGCATGTTGGAAAATTTTGCTTGGGGAATGGCTGCAGACAATCAGCTGCAGCCACTGATTCATGAGCTGGGGGGAGGAAAGCAACAAGACTTCCTCTGGTACTTCCTGGATTTACTGGTACTACATCCTATACAATTACCGGTATATTTGCATAAAGAAAAAACCCTAAAGAACTAAAAATAGTCACATTTTATTGCAATATCCACTAAAAAATCCCATAGGAGGGACTACATTGCACATGTGCAAAACTCTATACAGTTTAAAAGTTAGCATAGACAGATCTGTATGCATTCTATGTTCACTCCATTCTCTGGGCTGAAAAAATGCACACAAATCCCACCCATTAAAGTGTACTGAGTCACAAAATCCACAAAACACATTGATGATGCTTAAACGTGTTTTTAAGATCAATAATAACCAAACTTCTTGAAAATTCCACTTGGATGCAGTTTTTTTTATTGAATGGGTGCCTTGCTGACCATACACTGGTTCCATTATGGGGCCTTATCCTTTCTGCTAAATGTCATACTCAGTTGGATTTTGTACCCAGTTTCAACTGTTTGGTTGCTTTAAACCCGGGGACAGTGAGAAAATCAAATTGCCATGCATCCCTTCTATCATTGTTTACCTTATCTTATCACAGCCTAGCAGCGTGGTGCAAGAATTTCTGAAAAAATCCCAGCGAGCACCACGTGCAACCGCCAACACTCTGCATGTAGACAGTCATATTCTCCACATGTGCTAGAATAGGTTGCTTGACCCTAGAACGGGTGTCCAGCAACCTTATAAATGTGAGTATATGCGTATTACACTTTTTGCCATACTTTTCCCATTAGTACAGCTGAATACTACCCTTAGAAGGACCTCTCGTGGTTTTTTTATCCCTCCTTTTTCTCCTTGTCTCTGCTCATCTGGACCACCACTGACTCATGGACTGACTGATGGATTTAAAGTTCAACTCCAGGCATGTATAAAATGCACAAATTAGCTCTGTGTTTGTTAAAGCATAAGTTTCTCACTGCAAGGCAAGAGCACAATGTGCTAGTTTGCGTCACATACTAGCATATTATGAAGGACTCACCTTAAAACGAAGCCCTCCAGCGGCATGCTGTCACCTCTACAGAGGTTTCCAACTTCACCAGGGCTTCCTTCTGGGTTTGTGGGTTGCTTGAATGGCTGGGCCATGATGACGTCACTCCCACACATGAGCTCGGGAGTCTTGGCTGCGGCTCACAGCTCTGAAGGAAGGGCACAGGTATTCCATGCGCCTGTGACTTCCCCAGCTGCTGCTTGCTAGAATATCTCCTAAATGGTGCAAGTTTACTACAACTTTAATACATCATTAATAAAAAAATGTTAGATAAAAAAACTGCATAAGTACAAAAGTTGGTATTAACCCCTGAACAGCTGAACTCAGACAGGAGAAGGAGAAGCAGAACAGACAGTTGTGCTGTAAGGCTCATGTAACAAGAAACATACATGGAAGGGAGAGAGCAGAAATACAGGCATGAGCTCAACAGAGTGCAACTTCTCTTTTCATGGTTCAGTCATTGGCTAGGGAAAGGAGAAGACTGGTATGTGTTATTTAACTACAGCTGAGAAAAATTAAGTCTCCTGTCCTGCCTGATAGGACCGTGTGACAGAGCTGTGTAATTCATAGGAATAGATGGATAGAAACACAAAACCTTTAGTAGGTGAATCAGCTGCTATGTACTGTATATATACATATTCTTACAGTATATATGCATATTTGCACACATACACATATATATATACTGCAAGGTACTGAAGACAGCAAGATCAGTTGATCAGCAGTGCTGGTGGGTGGGGCCTAATTGACTCCACCTCTAGTGGGTGTGGCCTAAATGTCTCCAATGTGGTGGGCGGGGCCCAGGGGCGGACTGGCAACTCATGGGGCCCCGGGCAATAGGGATCATGGGGCCCCTCTGTCCTTGCCCAAACTCAAAAAAGCCTATGAAAAAGGTACCAGGGGCATCTCATGGGGCCCTCTACTGACCCCGGGCCCTCGGGCAGTGCCCGAGTTTCCAAATGATCAGTCCTCCCCTGGCGGGGCCTAACTGTATCCACTGTGGTGGGCGGGGCCTAACTGACCGTTTAAAGAAAAAACCAGCTAGCTCTTTGTCATTTCTTCTTGATCCACGCACTGAGCACAAGTGTTTGTGATTGCTCTGCAAAGTGACTGCAGTCAGAAGAGATTTCTTTGATTGATTTGCGTTTATCACCAGTTAAATCAGCGAGACAAATATCAAATCGATTTCTTTGATTGATTTCTGTTTGTGTTAGTTATAATATCTGCGAGACAAAGATGGGAATGCTGCTGAGAGCATTGATCTTTGTTATTGTTCTGCATCTGGCAACAGGTACATATTTATCTTACATTTTTACATATATATATAATTTTTTTTTTTTAAATACACACACACAGCGAGCTGCACCGGGATTGCAGTAAGAACCGGACAAGAGTTCTATTCCTATTCCCTTCTATTTCCAAAACTAAAAGGTATTGGCTTACTTTAACCACCTCCCTCCTGGCCAACAGCCGAATGGCGGCCGGGAAAACGCTCTAGATTTCTGGGTGGACGCCATTTGGCGTCCTCCGCACATGCACAGTTTTTTCACGCTTGCAGAGCCGCGCAGCGGCGTGATCTGTAACCGGCCGTGTACCTCAGACACGGCCGATGACAGATCTGAGTACCGGCCCCCGTTGCCGGTACCATGTGACCTACTGTGACCAATCACAGCAGGTCACATGACACTTGTATACAATGGGTGGCTTCATTCATGCCATCCATTGTATACTAGTGTCTAGCTGTGAATGGTCACAGCGATCACATGCACATGTCATGTGATTAGCTGTGGCCAAATCACAGCTAAGCACAAAAAAAATCGATCTCAATCAGGTAAATGCTTGCTTATAGCAATGTAATTCTTTGCTATAAGCAAATTGTGTAAAAAAAAAATACTGATCACTTCCCCAAAGTAGTACAATGTTACTATGGTAACATTTTACTACTTTGGACATAGTGAAATATGAAAAAAAAATTTAAAAAAAAAGAAAAAAAATGTAAATAAAAATTATTTAAAAAATTTAAAAAATGTAATAAAAAAATTAAAAATTATAAAAAAAAAATGTAAAAAAAGTAAGAAAAAAAATATATTTTTTTATACTGTCACCAGTCAGTGTCCCTGATCACCGCCATGCCAGTTATATATGATGACGCTGTACTGAACTGGTGACAGTATGTAAAAAAAAATTGTGAAAATTATTTTTTTTGCATTTTCTCATTTTCCGAAAAATTATGACAAAAAAATACAACTTCAAAAAAACTCGCCATGCCTCTTATGAAATACATTGGACTGTCTACTCTGCAAAAAGGGGTCATTTGGGGGATATCTGTACTGTTCTGATATTCTTGGACCTCAAGAAATTAGATTGGCCTGTCAGTACTTCAGGATTGATCAATTTTCAGATATATCCCATAGTTTGTGAACTCTATAACTTTCCTACAAACTATAATATACATCCTAGTTTGGGTTATTTTCACCAAAGACATGTAGCAGAATACATCTCGGCCTAAATGTATGGAGAACAATTATTTATTTGCAAACTTTTATAACAGAAACAAAGAAAAACGTGTTTTTTCCGGACGGTGGCAGTGCAGGGTCGGGTGGCCGTTTATAAACGACTTTCCTGGCCCCCCTGCTTGTGCGCGCTCCCTGGGAGCGCACAGCACCGTGATCATCGGACGGGACCTCCGTGCCAGGTCCCGATCATGTGATCTCTGGTTAGCCAATCAGTGATCACGTGCAGAGTAGTAAGCAAGATGTCACTTGTGACATCATTGCTTAACTACATGTGAAATCTGTGAATGATCACAGAGGTCACATGGTACAAGGCTATTCACTAGAGAGAAGGAGAAATGATTGCTTTTACAGCCTTTTTGGGTGTAAAAGCAATCAGTGTAAAAAAAAAAAAAAAATCTTCACCCCCCACAAGTAGTACAGTGACACTGTACTGGTGACACTGTACTGCTAGGGTGACAGTATGTAATAAATAAATTAAATAATATAAAAAAAATAAAATGTAAAAAAAGAGTTTAAAAATTATTATAAAAGCTAATTTGGGTTATTTTTTTTTACTAAACATATAACGGAATACATTTTGGCCAAGGTTTATGATGAAATAATATTTTTTTTCAAAATTTTTGGACTTTTTAATTTACATAGCAAAACAAAAATAAAAATGCCAGTGGTGAACAAATACCACCAAAATAAAGCTTTATCTGTCTCAAAAAATGCTAAAAAAAATTCATATGGGTACAGTGTAGCATGACCGCGCAATTGTCATTCAAAGTGTGATAGCTCTGAAAGCTGGAAATTGCCCCTGGGCAGGAAGGGGGAAAAAGTGCCTGGTATGGAAGCGGTTAAGCACTGAGCTATAACTACTTGACATTGGGCAGGTGACAGTTGGCAGTTTTTTGAAAACTAGAGTCAGTTTGACCCAGTCTATACACTGTAACAACGGGTAGCACAGTGGTTAGTGTGCCCGTCCACGAAGTACATGTCACAGGTTCCAGGCTGGACATGATAAACCGTTGTTACATTTTTTTGGGTTTTTTGCGGGGGTTTGTTTTTTTTAATATTCATTTTTCTCTCATTTGATCTATTTAGAAAGCTTTTCATGGTCCCAGTACATTGTTCTGGAAGCATGGTGACAAGCCTTATCTTCCCTTACTCAGTGAGGGTGTTTTCTTATTTAACTCTTTAACCGTTTCAATACCGTGCAATTTTACACCTTCCTGCCCAGGCCATTTTTCAGGTTTCAGCGCTCTCACACTTTGAATGACAATTGCGCAGTCATACAACATTGTACCCAAACTAAAATTTTATCATTTTCTTCACACAACTAGAGCTTTCTTTTGGTGGTATTTAATCACCGCTGGGGTTTTTATTTTTGCTAAATTAACAAAAAAAGACCAAAAATTTTGAAAAAAAAACACATTTTTCTTTGTTTCTGTTATAAAAGTTTACAAAATAAATAATTGTTCTTCATAAATTTAGGCCGAGATGTATTCTGCTACATGTCTTTGGTGAAAATAAACCCAAATTAGGATGTATTATTTAGTTTGTAGGAAAGTTATAGAGTTCACAAACTATGGTATAGATCTGAATATTGATCAATCCTGAAGTACTGACAGCCAATCTAATTTCTTGAGGTCCAAGAATGTCAGAATAGTACAGATATCCCCAAATGACCCCTTTTTGCTGAGTAGACAGTCGGACGTACTTCATAAGAGGCATGGCGAGTTTTTTGAAGTTGTATTTTTTTGTCATAATTTTTCCGAAAATGAAAAAATGAAAAATATTATTTTCACTATTTTTTTTTTTACATACTGTCACCAGTGCAGTACAGCGTCATCATATAACTGGCATGGCGGTGAACAGGGACACTGACTGGTGACAGTATGAAAAAAAAAAAAAAAATTATATTTTTTTTAATTTTTTTTTTATTTTTTTATTATATTTAATTTTTTATTACATTTTTTTTTTTTTTTTTTTTTTAAGATTTTTTTTTCATATTTTACTATGACCAAAATAGTACAATGTTACCATAGTAACATTGTACTACTTTGGGGAAGTGATCAGTATTTTTTTTTTTTTTTTTTACACAATTTGCTTATAGCAAAGAATTACTTTGCTATAAGCAAGCATTTAGCTGAATGAAATCGATTCATTCAGCTTTTTTTTTTTTTTTTTTTTTTTTTTGTGCTTAGCTGTGATTTGGTCACAGCTAATCACATGACATGTGCATGTGATTAGCTGTGACCATTCACAGCTAGGCACTAGTATACAATGGATGGCATCATGAATGAAGCCATCCATTGTATACAACTGTCATGTGACCTGCTGTGATTGGTCGCGGCAGGTCACATGGTACCAGCAACGGGAGCCGGTACTCGGATCTGTCATCGGCCGTGTCCGAGGTGCACGGGCGGTGACAGATCCCGCTGCTGCGCCGCTCTGCAATAGCGCAAACGGCGCATGTGCGGGAGCACGCCAAATGGCGTGGACCCCGGAAAGCTGCAGCGCTTTTCAAGCCGCCAAACGGCTATTGGCCGGGCGGCTAATGGTTAAATTAAAAAAAAAAAGTGATATTTTTTTTAATTTCAGCTGCCTTTCAGTGTCACCTATCAGTGCTTCCAGTCAGTGCCACCTATCAGTGCCAGTCTGTGCCGCCTATCAGTGCTGCCTAACAGTGCCAGTCAGTGCCGCCTATCAGTGCTGCCTAACAGTGCCCATCAGTGATGCCTGCCAATGCCCATCAGTGTCACCTACCAGTGTCTCCTCATCAGTGCCCATCAGTGCCACCTATCAGTGGCACTCACTGCAGCCTCATTAGCGCACATCAGTGAAGGAGAAAAATCACTTCTTTACAAAATTTTATAACACAAACTAAGAAAAAAACTTTTTTTTCCCAAAATTTTGAGTGGTTTTTGGTTTGTTTAAGAAAAAATAAAAAACCAAGAGGTGATTTAAATACCACCAAAACAAAGCTCTATCTGTCACAAAAAAAATGATAAAAATGTCATATGGGTACAGTGTTGCATGACCGCTCAATTGTCATTCAAAGTGTGACAGCGCTGAAAGCTGGAAATTGGCCTGGGCAGGAAAGGCTCTTGTCCTTTGTGTTTTGTCGTGTTGTTTGGTTTTATGTGTTGGTTTCTTGTGGATTATGGGTTGGGCCCATCGTAGGTATGGGTGTGTTCCTTCCCAATTATAAGGTCATGTTGGTAAGGTGGGAGTTCATTGACTGTATCTGGGACTACGTAGTTGTAGTATTGTCCCCGAGGCAGTGTAGTAGCAGCTGGGGACCTTTTCATTGGGTGTCAGATACAGCTGAGTTATTGATGTGAGTAACAGTGGCTTGGAAGACCTTGGACCCGATTGGGATCATTACTGTCAAGTTAATATTTGATTGTACTGTCTGAAATGTTGAGTAAGAGTTATGGTTAACCCGTTTGCCGCCCGGCCTAATAGCCAGATGGCGTCCGGTTTCCGGGCGAACAGCTCATCCTCCGGGTGGATGCCATATGGCGTCCTTTCCAGAGCGCGCATTGCACATGCCCACAGGGCCGCGCTGCGGTGCGATCTGTCACTGGCCGTGTACCTCGGACACGGCCGATGACCGTTCTGTGTACCGGCCCCGTTGCAAGTACCATGTGACCTGCTGTGACCAATCACAGCAGGTCACATGACACGCTTGTATACAATGGATGGCATGTAAGGAAGCCATCCATTGTATACAAGTGTGTCTAGCTGTGAAATGGTCACAGCGATCACATGCACAAGCTGGGCCAATCACGAGTCATGTGATTAGCCGTGGCACAAATCACAAAAAAAAAAAACCTGAATGAATCGATTTTCATTCAGGTAAAGGCTTGCTTATAGCAAAGTAATTGTTTGCTATAAGCAAAGTGTGTGGAAAAAAAAAGTACTGATCACTTCCCCAAAGTAGTACAATGTTACTAATGGGTAACATATACTACTTATGGTCATAGTGAAATATGAAAAAAAAATCTTAATAAAAAAAGAAAAAAATGTAATAAAAAATAATAATAAAAAAATTATCACTTTTTTTTTTTCGTACTGTCACCAGTCTGTGCCCCCGGAATCACCGCCATGCCAGTTATATTAGTAGCAATAGTGGTATGACCCTCCTGCGCTCCAAATTGTGTATTTAAAAATAATAAATTCAAATGAATAAGTGTATAAATCCCAAAGGAGCTGCTAGCATTAAATCATATACCAGTGATCAAGTGAATATAAAACAAAAGGAAAGCTGCGCTACATTCAAATCAAACAAATTGTGAATGTGGGATCCCAAAATATCAAATCAAAAAGTGTGACAATATTAACAATATTGACAATGCAAATATATATACGTGCTTGCTGATAATTAACAAAAATCAAATAAATCACTCAAAAGATGTAGAAACACAAAAAACTAAATCTATACTGTATGTGCATGAACAAAAAATATATACACATACATATAATTTAAATCACACGTGGCCTATTGTGAAGTGAAAAAATAACCATAATAATGGTACAACGCAAACTAATATCTCAAAGTCCAAAAAATATAAAATATGTGTAGGTGAACAAAACAGTAAACGGTGCTTCCAAATTATACTGTAGTGACCACAAGTGAAAAAAATCGTGCAGGTTTCTGGGTGTATATAGATCTACGAATCCAACCCCCTTCTGGATTAGCCTCTTGTGCTTTGGTGCCTGGAGGATCTGTGAGAGGGATCCACTACTGCTCTTTGATCCGCAAGGGTCGAAGGGAATGAGGTGAAGAGGCTAATCCAGAAGGTGGTTGGATTCGTAGATCTATATACACCCAGAAACCGACTTTTTTTCACTTCAGTATATCACTAACAGTATAATTTGGAAGCACCGTTTACTGTTTTGTTCACCTACAATATTTTATATTTTTTGGACTTTGAGATATTAGTTTGCGTGTACCATTATTATGTTATTTTTTTTCACTTCACAATAGGCACGTGTGATTTAATTATATGTATGGTAGTGTATGTATTTTTTGTTCATGCACATACCATATAGATTTAGTTTTTTGTGTTTCTACATCTTTTGAGTGATTTATTTTGATTTTTGTTATTATCAGCAAGCACGTATATATTTGCATTGTCAATATTGTTAATATTGTCACACTTTTTGATTTGATATTTTGGGATCCCACATTCACAATTTGTTTG